GTCCTCCTGTTGTTCTGTAAAATAAGCTCAGAAACTTTGATTACTTTGTTCCCCATGTCAACCTTGTGGGTATGAGGCGTGGTTTCACCCCTAATCCAGGGAAAATTTTAACTCCTTCATTTTCAGTTTTAATCCCACTGTTTTATGATCATTTTTCAGTCTTGGGGAAGATCTCTTGAGCTACTTTCTTCTGTGAAAGGGCAAAGATCAGGGTTAGAGGAATGAAATTGTTCTACGTTTATTTAAAAATATCTTGGGTATCAGGTGGGGGAGAGGGAGGAGCAAGACAGCCCAAATTTTAGAATCCCCTCCATAATGGACCTCAATCCTTGAGGAATCCAGGAGGAGAGGCTGGTAAGCCAATCAAGCTTAGAGCCTGGAAATTTAAGTGAAATCTGATGAAACAAATAGAAAAGGTTAATGGTTGGAGCAAATTATAAATTAATTCTTGAGCCCAGGGGACAGCCAGTCAAGATTTCTAGATGTCAGGGTTGAAGCATTGTTTGTAGTTTTAAGTGTCTCTGATGATGTAACCAGCTGTCCAGGTAAACCTTTTGTGTGGCTTATATAGCAACAGGTGTGAAGAATGTCTAACTATGGGCCACTATGGTGATCTCTCTTAAGTTTATACCAAGTTATCCAATTTTAATTTGCAGGGCCTCAGGGGGGAAAAAAAAAGAGTGGCCTCAGTTTTCAGTGAATTCAAATGAAAAGGATGGAAAAAATGGAAAACATTAGTTTGAGATTTGTACCAGATATTTGAGGAAACTAGAAGAATTCAGGATCCAGTCCAGTTTACGGGTAGAAAAAAACCTTCAAAGACAATTACTAGAACTAGAATCCATTATTTATTGTAGCTTTTACTGAAACAGTTTTTCTGTCTATAATTACCCTCATTTTTTTACCCAAAATACCCAAATTTGTAAAATAAGTTTAGTTTTAATAAATGTGGTCCAATTATTTGCATAAGTACAGCAAGAATAGTAATTGATCATATGAGCTCTTTTAAATCTGCTTTGCTGGAACTTTTTATAAGGAATCTCAGATTGAACTTTAAAGGCCTCTTGAGGACTTGTCATTAAACTCTGCCTGTAATACTTACAGATTGGGGTGAATTCCTCTCCTCTTGAGGTCCCCAAAATATCCTGAGGTACTTGCATCTGCCAGGTAAATGACCTTCTTTACTCGCCTAATAAAGTTGTTGAGAACCCTGTAAGCAAGGTACCAGGCTGATATTTCCAAGTGGCTTTATTTCATAAGGGCCAATCTTTCTTCCTCAAAGCTGTCTGGTCATCTGAGACTATGCATGTTTCTCTCAAATATGACTTTCCAGTCAAAGCCTTGGTAATATAACCAGTGTTTCCAATTGTGTCCTGCTATGAGGAGATCAGATTCTCATTGAACTTATGCAAATAACTATATTGCCATGAAAACAAGAATACTGACTCATCAAGAGTTTCCAAATTCTGGAGGGGTCAGGTAGGGAGAAAAAGATAAATGTTTTAATTCTGTTTACAAAGGTATAGTTTACCAAATTGCTAGAAGTTATAGTTAGCTTAAGAGAAAGGAGAAAAAGATTTCCTTAAATCTGGAAAATTTGGGGGGGTGGGGGTGGGGGGTGGGGTGGAAGCTTGTCAAAAATATCAAAATCTTTTAAAGCACTTGGTAGTTATCCATTTAATCAAAGTGACAATGGAAGATGTTAGGGCAAACAAAGAGAATTAAACAAATTTGAAAAAGACTTCATTTGCTTAATAGAGAGACCTCAGCTTTTGAACACAGGAAATTATATTGACAAAACATAACATTTCTGCCTTTCAGGTAGACTTACTCAAAGGTAAAGAAAAACCTTTTATAACCTCTTTATCAAGAGCAGGCAAAAGTTTAAGAAAATTACCTTTTTAAGAGAGAGAAACCCAAATTCTAATTTTGTACCAGCTTATTTTTTTTTTTTTGTGAGGAAGATCAGCCCTGAGCTAACATCTATTGCCAATCCTCCTCCTTTTTTTTTCCCCAAAGCCCCAGTAGATAGTTGTATGTCATAGTTGCACATCCTTCTAGTTGCTGTGTGTGGGACGCGGCCTCAGCATGGCCGGAGAAGTGGTGCGTGGGTGTGTGCCTGGGATCCGAACCCGGGCTGCCAGTAGCAGAGTGCACACACTTAACTGCTAAGCCACAGGGCCGGCCCCGTACCAGCTTATTTTTGATATTGAAATTTATTTACTTAATTAAATTCATTTCAGTCTTAGCCAGCTTGACCATGTACAAAACTCTTTCCTCAGGGTTTTACTTCCACAAACCTGTCACTTGCTTTTTACATTCAGAATCTGTCCCATGTCTTTTTCCTTTTTTTTTCCCCTAGTACTTTAGGACAAATTTATCTTTCTTAACAAAATGAACAGAAATATCTCTATTTTTATACCTTCTTTACTGAAAACATACATCCTATTGTCTATTTTTTATATACAGTTATTTTCTCAATTTTAATACTTACAGAGTTTATCTAGAAAGGAAATGATGCAAGGCAGTTGTTACAGAATAATTACAGATTTTACTCTTAGAGAATAACATAATTGTCTATGTATTATATTAAAAGAATATAAACTCCTTTTATATAATATAGTTACAATAAACTACACACTTTTTGGAAATTACAGTATGAGATTCTCTTGTGTCTATGTGTTCATCCTGCCATTGCTTTGTCAAACCAGGGATGATAGAACAGGGAGAGGCAATAATATCCCCACATTATTGTCGAAGAGGGTTTCTCTAGGTTGAGTAAGCAAAATAAAGATTTGAAAGATGGAACAACAACTTTTAAACTGATGGCAGAGCTGTAAATATCTGGGAATCCACCAGCAGAAGTTTTGGCTCTGCAAGCAGTTATAAGAAATGGGAGATGTTCTTTTAAACAAAGATTGTTTCTTGGCTCTAAATCTGAAAAGACAAGGCAACAGAGTTTGAGCCTATCAGAGAGTGATTACAGCTTGGACTTGAGGAGTTATCATTGTGTGTGTACAGGATGGGAAGGCTGATTGTCCTTGTATTGGTTTTTCTATCTGGCTGTATAGACCCTTCTGTTGTTCATTTTATTGTGGTATAAGAGCAGTAGCCTTTAAACTTGCTGGATCATTCAATAGCAAGAAATATACTGTATATTATGGTCCACCATATATATATATATAAAATCATGTAAGTAACAGAAATAAAAATTTAATAAACTGACATGTATTTTTTATTTTCAGTATATGCCATACATGTATTTTATTCTGTATTTTATGAAATTATTATTTTTCAAATACACAGATTTTATAATAAATTTACTTATGTATTATAAATAAAATTGAAAATATATGTTATCCATTTATCTATATTGATAAATATGGATGTCATGTACATTTTTTATTTAAATAAATGTTATTTATAATTTATCAATGGTCTGTGACCATAGTTTGAAAAATAAGAAGTTACACTAAATCCTTCTATAGCAGGAGAAAGCTCTCATGAGAGTTTCATTGTTTCTTATCTTTCAAAGGGGCTCGTGTTGTTTCGCCTGCATTTTCTCAGTATTAATGCACTCAGTTTGCATAGAGTTAATTTATGTTTATTACTCTAAGTGTTCTGACATTTTTTTCTTTGATTCTTTTTGCATTTTAGCTCTTTTTCCAATACATTTTTTTTTTTTGCCTATCTTTTTTTTTTTTTTTTTGGTGAGGAAGATCGGCCCTGAGCTAACATCTGCCAATCCTCCTCTTTTTGCTGAGGAAGACTGGCCCTGGGCTAACATCCATGCCTATCTTCCTCTGCTTTATATGGGACGCCGCCACAGCATGTCTTGACAAGCGGTGCGTCGGTGCATGCCCAGGATCCGCACCAGCGAACCCCGGGCCACTGCGGCAGAGCATGCGCACTTAACCACTTGCACCACTGGGCCGGCCCCTCCAATACATTTTTAAAATTATTTGTAATCTTTGCTATCCAATGAAAACTAAGAAGCAAGCAGTTGTGAACTGTCTATCATATATTAGCATCCTGTAGTAGATTAGCAAGCCCATAAACACATTTTATATTTTTTAGAAGTATATTTTTCTTTACAGAAAACTTTTTAATATGACACAAAACATGTCTATTGACAGACCCAAGTATTGTTTGTCTTTGTAAAATAAGTTAGAAAGCCAAAACTAAACAAACATGTTTAGCAATCAATGTCTTAGTATGCCATCCTATCCAGAAATGATTTAGATATGTAATCAATATCCATTATTTAACTTAGTATAAGCTCTTATCTTAATTACATTTATTTAAACATTTCTTTTTAACAGTTATGTTTGGATTGGACATTAAATAGTTAACCATCATCCCAAGTTATTTTCCCTGTTGACAACTTCCACAACAGAAACAGTCTGAGCACATTTGCCCAGTAAACGCAGGTAGAAAAAGTTGTATGTTTGCATTATATTCAATATTGATAACTTTGAAGACATGTCTGTTTTTACTAAACCAGCAAATTTAAACAAGTTTTTATTTACCAAAGATCATTTTTATGTCATGTTAACTTGAAAGACATCTGGGCTAGTTTCTACTACATTTAGAAATAATTTATATAGCACTTACTTTAAGCCAATTAAATGGAGCTCCTTTAGAAATTTTACCATCCAAAGGCAGACAAATATAGATATACTTACATACATAAACATACACATATAGACACAAACAGAGATCTTTAAAATTTTAGCCATGTCTCAGGCACAAAATTCAAAAGAATAGTTGGAACCAAATTGTTCTCTGGCAGATGGACCTGCTCAGATAGCCAAAGATTTTTATTAAAAATTCTTTTCTTTTTGTTGTAAGGATCCTTTTAAAAGCTGTTTTTGAAGTCATTGTGTCTTTTAGAAGGTTTTGTATGTTAATCAAAGAATGCATTCCATTATTTCTGAGAGGTTTTGTATCTTCTCTTTTCCAGTTGAGTGTGCAAATAAACCAATTTGGGAATATCAAAGGAGCTCCATTGTGGCTAATGTCATTTTAGATCATCTCTAGTAATTTGGACCCAGATAGTAAGAAACTTGCAAGTATTTGGCCCATAATGTTTACACATAAAAGCCGTGGGAGTAGTGGTGGGGGGTTAGCCTTTTGTTGCCTCCTTTGAATCGGAGGCACCTATTATGAATGGAGAAATCTCTCCCTGTGAATACCTGTTGAATTCTCTGAGGAAAACTCCTTCCTGGAAACTTGAGGGAAACTCCTCCGAGGAGCAAACTCCTCCCTGGAATTTTGAGGGAAACCCCTCTGCAAAGATCCTCAAGACCTCAACCAAGCATAGGAGATGAGGATGTGGGAGGGCCTTACCTTGAGCCTCCCCAGGCCATTGGAGCTGTAGATGAGCAGTCAAGGAGCTCTGGGTTGTGCTGGCAGGCAGTGTCCAGTCTACCCCCAGGAGGAGATCAGGTGGCCTTATCACATCCCATCCTCGTAGCCAGAAATGTTAACTGAAAAGAGCAGCTTTAGGAGGCATAATGAAATTTTAAAGAAAAAGATGCTTTTATTTAGAATTGCAATTCAGGGAACACAGATCTGAGGAAAAATTCAGATGTACCCTTCTGAGGCAGAAGAGGCAGGGGGTTATGAAGGCAAAACCCACAAGTCCGCATAAGTTGTTTTGCTCCAGGATGTGGCTTTGTTCCAGGATTCAGTCAGCAGTTTGGGAAGCACAGTGTCTGCAAGCAATTCGGGAAGCACAGTGTCTGCAAGAGCTGTATTCGTGCAGGTGTCTTACTTCCTCAGTGGCTTCTGGCCTACTTCCATGAGCCTTTGCAGGGGCGACCCCATAACAGGTTAGCAGTTGCCTGGATATCTCTGACCTCAGTCATTTTCCTTTAACAACATGAAGGTTTATAGCAACCGTATTGAAATAACCAAGAACTTGAAGCAACCCACATAGGCATCCATGGGAACACGCCTAAATAAATGATGACATAGTCACAAAATGGAAGAAAACAAGCAATGAAAACTGCTGCTTCATGCAACCTTGGGGATGAAGCTCATAGAAAAAGACATTGAGTGACAGGGATGTGAGTCAGGGACAAAGCAGTACCTACTGTAGAGTTCTGTAGAAAAGTTAAAAACCTTAGGGAGAAAGGACAGAATAATGGTCACCTTCGTGCAGAGCTGTTGGGAATGTTTTGTGACTTTGTATGAGCAGGGTTTATGTGAGTGTTGACAGGCACATATTCATCAAGCCGTGCACTTAAGACTTGTCCAATTTATCTTATTGAAATTACACGTATAGAAAAAAGATAAATAAAATACCAACGTGCGCCCCACAGAACACAAAGAGCATAGCAAGATGAGACTTCCTTTATGAACCTCACAGACTGCAAATCCCATTTTCACTTCAGAGGAATACTTTACCAGAATTTTGTTTTACTCACTCTCTCTTTTGTAATTCATAGTTTGGCACCTTATATATGTATCACTAATAGTAGATACATTATTGCCTGATTTTGAAATTTATATGAATGGAATCAGTGTGCTTTTCTCAGTGGGTTTTTGTTTCTTCTTTTTTTTAGTAATTTTGAGATGAATGTGTCACTTCCTATTTATCATGCTTTTTAAATTTATAATATATGTATTTAAACCTATTAAAGTCTCTATAGAATTTTATTAAACACATCTCTAAAGAATAGGGGGTGTAATTATTTGGCAAAAAAATAATTTATATTTTTTATTATCTTTACTTTCATGATGCATGGGTTATTTAGTATTTTGTAACCTAATTTCCAAACACATCTTTTTATATTTTCCACTAATCTCTGTTGATTGCATTCTTTGTCTTATTTCATCCTGTTAAATTGAAGATGCTTTTTATGGTCACGTATATGGACGGTTCTGTCAATATTCAGTCTGTACTAGATATGAACATTCTGTATTTGTACGGGTAGTATCTGTCAGGCCAGATTTATCATTCTTGGTGTGTGAATCCACTAGAGCTTTAACAATTTGATATTGGCTGTTTCTACTAATTACTGAGATGGCTGATGTAAAAATGCCTGATATATTCATGGATTTGTATCTTTATCCTTGTTTTTATTTAGAAATTGTTGCTTTCTGTAATTTGAGTCATCGTTATAAATTACATACAAACTCTAAAATAGTATATCCTCTAGGTGATGCTTTCTCTTTTAAAATTATTTTTTTCTGATGTAAATACATATTTCACTTTTCATGTGTTATTTTTAAAATAATTGTAACAAGTATCTTTTCCAAAACCTTTTTGATATATTTCTATAATGTTGTATTTTAGATGTGTCTCTTGTATCCATACTATTGTTGAATATTTTTAATGTCAAAAATTACTGATCCAATGTTACCTCATTAAAAAATATTACTGACTGCTAATGTCAGCATTTACTCCATATGTATTTCATGAGATAGCTGATATATTTGGGTTTCAATACATCCCCTGTGGGTGAGGGTGTGCTTTTCTTTGCTTCACTAGTTCTGTACACTCTCTTTTTAAAGACTTTCTATTGATTATTTCTTTACATTTCAAATTTTTCTTCTGTATATTTGTAGAGTATATACTCTGATTCTGTTCATTAGTGTTTAGGCTGAACATGGCAACACACTTATTTAAAACATTAGAGTGAGAGAGGCAGGAAGCTAGATCTGAGCTGGGAGCAAGGTTACTCCACCAGGTGCAGCATCCTAATTGCCAGGCAGCAGCTCTTTGGATGTGCAGCACTCCCCCCAACCCTGACCTAGAGTAGCCCCAAGCCTCATTATACCCTCATTTGCATTGTGGTTTTGACATCCCTCCCCCCCCCCACCCCCATGGGGGATCACCAGCACGGCATCCGAAGATGCCTATGTAAGGAAAAAATCTCCCCCTCAGGATGTGAAGGTAGAGACAATGCCCCAATAGGCACATATTCCAAGACCCTCACCCACCCCTGGACCCAAACCAGGGTCCAGACCAAAACCACTGACCACCACAAATTTGGTGCAGTTGCTCCCTCGAGCCTGCCCGCCCCTCCCTTTGGGGGTGTACTTTCGCTGTGCTAATAGATCTTCAAAACTTCTGCTGTGTGTCCACTCAAATTCTTTTGTGTCTGTGGACCAAGAACCTGGGACCCCACCACACCAATCTGACCAGTGCTGGTAACAACTGTATAAAGTTATTAATATCTTTGTTCTCCTTCTGGAAAATATATGAGATTTAAACATTAATTTGCTCATCTCAGTTTATGTGCTATTGAGGATATGCATGTGGTAATTCCATCCTTCTGTCTCCGAAAAGGAAATACTAATGTTTTATACAGATAAGGAGTGCTTGTACTAATCCGCAAACGCACCCCTCTCACAGATCCTAATGCCTTCTATCGTTGCAGACCAATCACCCGGGATCACTTTCCTCCAACCTTCAACAGAAGTTAGTGCTATTTGTGTCTGTTATTTTTTTTCCATCAAATTTCTCATTTTGGGTCTCAAATAGTCTTATTTACACTCCTTCTTCAAAGATGCATTTGTTGTGTGTAGAAACCTATTGGCAGTTATTTCTTCAAGAGTTTCAGTGTGTCCTTCCACTGTGTCCCTGACACATAACTTTTACTTTAGTTATGTGAGTGTGAGTAGAGACATTGTGTGTGTGTGTAAAGAATATATATATGTATATTGCTTCCTGTGCTTTGAGAATCAATATTAGGACCTGAGTTGCAGAAGACGTCACCCAGAGATCCTAACATTGAGATGCAGTCAATGAATGGATAGGATTTTGGTTGTCAAATTAACAAGGGTGTAAGAGGGTAGAATGTAGATGATGAATAATAAAATGGGTATCTGGTGGTCATATCAATGGATTGTGCTAGAAACTGGCTAGGTGTTCACCAATACTATTTTCCCCTTCTGGACTCCCAGGCTTGTCCCAGCTTCCCTTACACTTAATTTGGTATCATGCAAATGAACTCTGGCCAAGGAAATATGGGCAGGAGTGATTGTGAAAATGCTTCTTTATTTTATGTTCTCATTTGTGCCCCTTCCTGGGGTCACCTCCTTGGGGCTCAGTGGTTCCAGTGTTCACACCTCCCCAGGAATTATTGCTCCCTTGGGAGCTGCAAGTTCACATGATGGGAAGATGGTGTCTTGAGGAGGAGGAGGACCAGACCTGGTGACCTTGAGCTGCTGGGTGTCAGGCTGGGCCATCTCGTGATCATACCTTTGTACCTGGGTCTGCCTGCCCTGAGAGCCAGGGGGGAAGGCAGGAGGCCTTTGAGTCTTGGTTCCTGTGAATTAGACATTACTAATATGTAATAATTACATAGAATTATTACTATGTCATCTTATGAAATAAACCATGATATGAAACCATGTTAACTCCACGGTCCACTTAAGCCTAAGGGCAATTAGTCTTAATAGTCCTACCTTTTGAATCTTATGGCCTGTAAGAATGTGTGCCTTGGACAACAGATCTACTTGTAATTTAGGAAACTCTCCTGCATGTGATGTTTAAAAAAAATTTGCATGAGCCTAAAGGTATGCAGGTGTGCTTTATGCAAAAATTTTAACCCTTACCTTTGAGGCTACTCGCTGAGTCAGGGAGTGACTGTAATTTATATTTTAAAAAATATCAGCAGCGATTCTGCAAAGAGGGTCTCTGACATCCTCCTATAGCAGTATATGTGAGAACCCTGTGGGGACAAGAGTAATAAAAATAATAGCTTGTATGTGTTTAGCACTAGGCCCTGTGTTAAGCACTTTGCATCTCACTTCCCATGAGGTAGGTTGTAGTATTTTCCCATTTTAGGTATTGCACTTTTGGGGAGGACGGTGGTCATGACTTTGAAAGAGAGCGCCGATTCTCAAACTTGAGCCAGGGCCCCATCCCAGGGTTTCATGGCAGAACGTGTAGGTTGGGTCCGAGGACTTGCATTTAAATAAGTTCACAGGTGATGCTGGTAGTGGTAAATCAGAGACTCAAATTTGGGAATCAACGAATTAGAGGAGCATTTAATGTTACTAGACAAAGGCCCCCACGAGCGAGGTATATTCATTGTTCAATTTAAATCTCAGTCCCCAAAGCTCAGAAAGGTGAAGCAGCTCTCCCAGGATTAAACAATGGATCACCTGCCCGAGACCTCTGAGGACGTGTCATTCTCCCAGGTGACCACGGATATCTGGGCGCGTCGCCTTTAAGAGGAACTTTGACACTTAGGACACTATTTCTCCCGGAACTTTCTCCCCCTACCGGCCTCCGCGCAGTGTCGCCTTCGCGGTTGTCATGGAGAACCGGAAACCTGACCGTCGCGGGGTCGACTGCAGAGCAAAAACTACATTACCCAGAAGTCTGTGCCCGGCGCGTCCATGTTAGGCCAATGACAGCCCGGTGGATGGGCGTTTCCTGCTGCCCGGGGCGGCAGAGGCGGGACTTCCGGCGTCGCCGTCGTGACGTCCTTTGCCTGTGCCAGGACTGTCCAGCTTGGCTGAGGCGGCTCCGAGTCTTGGGCCGGGTCGGTGTCCCACACGACGGGGAGAAGGACGGGCCGTCTCTCCGCGCGTTTGTTCCGACCCTTGATCCCCGTCGTGGGACGGGCGGCCCTGCGCGGAGCTGTCCGCCGGGGCTACGCTCTTTCCCAGGCATTCGCGCCCGCCCTCCGTCCTCGGGGGCCCCGGAGGCGGCCTCCTGAGCCTTGCGCGGGTTTTTACACGGGGAGGCTGGGGCTCGGAGGCGACAGTCAGCCCGACGGCACCCGGCCCAGTGGAGGTGGGGTGTTTCGGCTGAGGCCGCCGGGCCCGCCCCGTTCGCCCGCTTCTCGCGGGCCGCGTTCTGCTCACAGGATCCCATGGCGGCCGCGGCGCTGATGGACCGGGCTCGGGTGAGTGGAGGGTCCCTCCAGCCCTCACCGACTCGCGTGTAGGGGATGGTGTGTTGTCGGACCTTCATCACTTCGCCTTCATCGCTGCCTCCTCTTGAGTATAAAGGCGGTGGAGTGCGGTCACTCCCGGCGGATAGATGGCGAGGTTCCCATTCCCAGGATCGATGGGATGCGATGGGATGAGGTGTGAAAGGGTTTCCAAGGCGCAGGAGCCGGCTGGTCCAAATACTTGGAAGTGAGACCCGGGAGCCGCGGGTCTCTGTTCTGTCTGGTGAGAAGGTTTGGAACAGAGAAGGGAGGTGATCTGAGTTAGGTGTTAATAGGCTCCGTCTGCCTCCAGAGTGGAAAGAAAGATTGGGGGACATGGGAGGGGGCAGGGAGACCATGATGGAGCAGACTGCAATAGTGCAGGTGAGTGTTGATGGTGGGTGGACCAGAGTGGTGGCTGTGGAGGTTAGAGAAGTGAGTGTATGGATTTTGTATATGTTTTTAAAGTAGGGGGGACTAGATTTCCTGATGAGACACAGTGATTTTCTGTGACTCTTCACCTGTCACTCCCTCAGCATTGGAGTGTGGGGGCCCTCACAGTGGGTCACTTGTAGCCCGGCATCCTGAATCTAGGCCAGGAGTTATTGGAAAGATTCCTTCTTCTGACAGCCAGTAGGATGAGGACTGGAAGGTTATATTCGGCTCAGGTGCAGCATGTGCAAATGCTTGGAGGTAAGATTGAGTTGGGAGTCCTCAAGGAACCACAGGTCTTAATTATGTCTGTTGGGAACAGGGCCAGGAGTCAGGCAGGAATGGCAGGCTGAGGAGCTGCGCCTCTATTCTGGGGATGGTGAAAGACATGGAAGATTTGGAGCAGAAGAGAGAGGTGATCTGACTCAGATCTTAACAGGCTCCCTCTGGCTGCTCTCTGGTTGAGTACAGAGTACGGGCATGAGGGAGGAGCCTACTGCAGTAGTCCACATGAGTGTGGATGGTGGCTGGCCCAGAGGGGTGGCTGTGGAAGTGAGAGAAGTTGGTAGATTTTGTGTTTGTTTTTTAAGTAGAGTCACTGGATTTTCTGATGTGAAGTGTGAATGAGAGAAAGGGAAGAGTCACGAATGACCCCAGGGGTATTTTTGGCTTTAGAGGGTAGGATGATGGAAGTGCCATCAACTGAGATAGGGCGCGTGGTGGCAGGAGTAGATTTCAGTGGCTCTATCGGGAGTTATGTTTAGTTTAAGAAGTCCCAGGGACCCCTTAATTGAGGCGTCAAGCTGGACACGGGTTTTTAGTTCAGGGAGGGCTTCTGGTTGAAGTTCAAAAGGTGGCAGCCAATGTGTGGAATGGAGTAGAGCTGTGGGTTAAGTTTAGGAGGGAGTATCTTCAGTTCATTGTGGCAATGCCGTTGATAACAAGAAAGTGGAAACTGGGGACTGAGGACTGGGTCTCTTGCTTAGGCACCTGAAGGCAGTGGTGCCTGTCATAATCATGTGAGCACTTCCTGGACACCATGTGCAGAGTGGCATGGCGGGAGGTGCCTTGTAGGTGCATATGCTCTGGACTAGAAGGTTGTCAGTGGTAGTGGAGGTCCCAGACATGAAGAAGATGTGGTTCACAGAGTGATGTGCATGTTGGGAGGAGTGTGACCTGACCGCCTTCAGGTTGTGTCTGGGAGGTGTGGTCTGGATGACAAGAGAACTGGCAGGCAGGAGACTGTTTCGTGCCCTTCATGCGAGACCCGTAGCTTACAGGTTCTGCTTTCGGCTGCACACGGTGATCAAAGGGACACGAGGAGAGAGTAGGCACTAGTTGTGTCAAGCCTGGTATCTCCTCTGAGTTGGGAGACTCGGGAGGGGAGGGATCTGGGAGTGGGTATGTGAGCAGACACACTGGAGAGTCCTTTTGCCTGTGGGCTCAACTGTCCCCATCGTGGCAGGGCTGTGTGACCTTTGAGGATGTGTTCGTGTACTTCTCCCGGGAGGAGTGGGAGCTCCTTGAGGAGGCTCAGAGACTCCTGTACCGTGATGTGATGCTGGAGAACTTCGCACTTGTGGCCTCACTTGGTAAGTCTCTGTTTTAGTCATCTTTTGCTAGATAGCAAGTTACGCCAACATTTAGTGGCTTCAAACTATAAAGATTAATTATCTCAGTTTCGCTGCATCAGGAATCTGGTCACAGTTTACCTGGGTGCTTTTGGCCTAGGGTATCTCCTGAGGTTTCAGTTGAGCTGTGAGTGAGAGCTGTGTTCTCATCTGAAGGCCAGTCTTGGGAAGAATCCACTTACAAACTCACTCTTGTGGTTGTTTTCAAGCTTTAGTTTCTTGCAGCTTGTTTAACTGTGAGTATTAGTTCCTCTCTGGCTATTGGCCCAAGGTCTCCTTCAGTTCCTTGTCCTGTTGGCCTTTCTGTAGTGTACCTCACAACATGGCAGCTGCCTTCTCTCTGAGCAAGTGGGCAAGAGAGATGGGTGGAAGCCAGTCTTTTTCTAACCTGACCTCGAAAGTGACATCCCATCACTTTTGACATATTCTTTTCCTTGGAAAGGGGCCAGTCAGTGCAGCCTACAATCAAGGGAAGAGGTTTACAGAAAGGGCAAGAATACTGGGAGGGAGGCATTCCAGGGGCCATCTTAGAAGCTGCCTTCCATAGGCCCTCATGCCCACTCCAGTGTCCTTGGGGCTTGGTTATTCCCCTGTTCCCTTGGGGCAGCTCTTTCTCTTCTGCCAGATCAGTGACTCTTCTCCCTCACTTCTTTGGTTCCCAGAGTAGGTGCTATGGGTACCGGGGCTGGGCCATGTGCAGTGTCCCCTCACTTGCTGAGCACTCCCAAAACTTGCTGCCCAAAGCCTTGCAGGAACGGGTTAGGGGTTCAGGGCTTTTTCAGTCTGCTCAACAGAGTCTAGATGGCTTGGGCCAGGTGACTATCCAGATCCATGGTACCTCTGTGTCCCAGTTTCTGTCCTCATCCTCCAGCTGGCATTTCCTGGGCTGACTGGGCCAGGAATTGCAGGTACTGACGTGTCACTGCTTGTGGAGGTCACAGGGCTGTTCTGCCAAATTTTCCTTTCAGGTTCTTTTATTAACTTTTTGTTTTCTTCTCTGTGGGGTGGGTCTGCCTGGGCCACTCATCTGCCCTGTGTTTCCTTTACAATTTCCATATTCTAGATCCCATGTTGTTCCCCTAGGAGAGGGGCAGAAAGCCCTGGGTGCCTGATGGGTGACCTGACTCCAGCCACAGTGAGAGAGACCCAGAGAGGGCCTGGCACTGCTGCATGGATACTGGAAGAGAGTGTCCTGTTAGGGCTGGGTTCAGATCTTACCTTCAGACTGCTTTGAGTTCACCAGTGTTTTCTCGCCAAAGCCTGTAGCAATACCTCATTTCTACCTTTCCTTCCCGATTCTTGGCACTTTGCCCACATGTCACTTCTCTGCTGTCTTTCATCCCTTTGCTGTTTCCCCTCTTCTCTGGCCTCCGGGTCTCACTCATTCTCCTCTGCTCCCTCTGCAGTGCTCTGCAGCATTGGCCACTTTAATGTGTCATAGGTTGTGCACATATCTTTAAATAGTCCTTAGGAATCAGTCACTTACTTGCAGTCAGATTTTCCTGGGGCTGGACACAGCCTGCTGCACAGAGCTCACCTGACATCAGCAGCCAAGGCCCTGCTGAAACCCTTTTGTGGAGGAGTGAATTGGAGACCCCACGTCTATTCCCTGTAGCCTACGCCATCGTTGTGTCTTTAGAACTCATTAGAGTTCCTCCATACTGGGAGCTTTAGAGGCCAGGACTGACCACGGGTCCTTCCTCACCCCAATCCTGGCTCTCTCGTCCTGCCAGCAAGTCAATAGACTTGTTCACTGGTGTGTCACACAAACGTATGTGATGGGGCTGCTGCTTCCTACCATAGTTAACATGTTCCTCACCAGCATTTCTTTGCTTTCAGGTTCTTGGTGTGAAGCTGACAGTGAGGAGGCCCCTTCTGAGCAGAGTGTTTCTGTAGCAGTGTTGCCGGTCAGGACTCCAACATCAGGTTTGTTTATCGAGAAAGCCCTCCCGTGGGAGATGTGTGACCTACTCTTGAAAGACATTTTGCACCTGCCTCAACACCAGGAATCACACCCCACACAGAAACTGCTTGCACGTGGCCGATTTGGGAGAGGATTCTTGTTCAGTCCAAACTTTGACCAGCACCAGAGTCGATATAGTAGGGAGAATCCCTTCAGAGAGGATGATGGTGGGGCCTCATTTGTGAAGAGCTGTGCAGTCCGTGTGTTAGGGAGACCCTTTACTTGCTGGGAGGAAGTGATGGACTTGCCGGACAACTCTGGCCTCTTCCAGCACCAGACCACTCACAGTGGGATGAGTCCATACAAAAGGACTGGGTTCATGGAGTCTCTCCCACACAGCTCCAGTCTCGGGGGACACCAGGGAGACCATGATGACCTGATGCTTTTCAATTGCAGTGACAATGGGAAAGCCTTCCAGAACACGTTCACTCTCCTCAACAACCAGATAACTCACACTGAAGTGATACCCTTTAAACGCCTACCACGTGGAAATATGTCCAAGGAGAAATCAGCTCTTCCTCATCACAGAAAAATTCACAGTGGAGAAACATCACATATGTGTAAGGAGTGTGGAAAGGCCTTCATTCACCTGTCCCACCTAAAAATGCACCAGAAATTTCACACTGGAAAAAGACATTATACATGCAGCGAATGTGGGAAGGGCTTCAGTCGGAAAGACACACTTGTTCAGCACCAGAAAGTTCACACTGGTGAAAGGTCATATGACTGCAGCGAATGTGGAAAAGCCTACAGTAGAAGCTCCCACCTTGTTCAGCACCAGAGAATTCACACCGGGGAAAGGCCTTATAAGTGCAGTGAATGTGGAAAAGCTTTCAGCCGTAAAGACACACTTGTTCAGCACCAGAGATTTCATACTGGAGAAAGACCTTACGAGTGCAGTGAATGTGGGAAATTCTTTAGCCAAAGCTCCCACCTTATTGAGCACTGGAGAATTCACACTGGTGCAAGGCCTTATGAATGCATTGAATGTGGGAAATTCTTTAGCCATAACTCCAGCCTTATTAAACATCGGAGAGTCCACACAGGAGCAAGGTCTTATGTGTGCGGCAAATGTGGGAAGGCTTTCAGCTGCAAAGACACACTCGTTCAGCACCAGATAATACACACTGGAGCAAGGCCTTATGAGTGCAGCGAATGTGGGAAGGCCTTCAGCCGTAAAGACACACTTGTGCAGCACCAGAAAATCCACACTGGGGAAAGGCCGTATGAGTGTGGTGAATGTGGGAAATTCTTTAGCCATAGCTCCAACCTGATTGTACACCAGAGAATTCACACTGGAGCAAAGCCTTATGAATGCAGCGAATGTGGGAAATGCTTTAGCCACAACTCCAGCCTCATTCTACACCAGAGAGTTCACACTGGAGCAAGGCCTTATGTGTGCAGTGAATGTGGAAAAGCTTACATTAGTAGCTCCCACCTTGTTCAACACAGGAAAGTTCACACTGGAGCCAGACCTTATGAGTGCAGTGAATGTGGGAAATTCTTTAGCCGCAATTCTAGCCTCATTCTACACCAGAGAGTTCACACTGGAGAAAAGCCATATGTGTGCAGTGAATGTGGGAAAGCCTACAGCAGAAGCTCCCATCTTGTTCGGCACCAGAAAGTTCACACTGGAGAAAGGCCTCATGAATGCAACAGTTTTGGCAGCCCTTTAGCTCTTAAACTTGTTTAGCACCAGAAAGTTCACACTAGCAAAAGGCCGTATGAGTACAGAAAATGTGCTGTGTCCTTGTTCAACCTAATAGGACTCACACCAGAGAAAAGCTCTGTGAGTACCCTTCGTGAGGGAGCCATCAGCCAATAGGTGAATCTTGTACATTCATAATCCACCCTGGGGAGATTCCCAATAAGTACCACATAGGTGGGAAGCTTTCCTGAGGTGTGTTGCACTTCCTAAACTGTTTGGGGCTCTTGACAGTGTTATATCTCTACCAGTGCCTGTGGCAGAAGCCAACTCATTGCCTCAGCTTTCAGGATGGCACAGTGTGTGTCAATCAGTCCAATATGCTCAGGGAAGGCAGACCCCTGTGCCCTCTCTCCTAGTCCCTGGAGGAATCGTGTTTGGAGCCCATTGACAGGCCTCATTTCCGCCCCCACGGCTGGGTTCTGAGTGAACCTGATCTTGCTCTGGCCAAAAGGATCTGAGCTGGAGTCTGCCAGGGATTTCCAGACCAGATTTCCCTTCTTTCTGGACATTGTTGACTGTAAACCTGAGAGCTGTGCTTTCACATGCTTTTCACTCAGCTTTGGAACTGCCTGCCCTACTCTGCTCTGGTTTGTACAGTGATAAAGGCTTGTTGTGGCAGTCTTTACTCTTGGGAGGGGTCTGTTCACTGTGTGGAATGGGTTGAGAAAAGAATTACTTTCTACCAACATGAGGGGAGGAACTGTTTTTGTCTACACCAACTTGATGTGCCCCAGAGGGGATAGCTGGATGGCAGAGAGCAGATCTCAGTTTGGTTTGGCCTAATTTGCATTGTTGTCCAAGTCTTGCTGGAAAAGGCTGAAGAGCTTTGTGTGCCTCCTCATGTGGCCTGAAAGTCAGGATTTCCTGTGAGCCCAGAGGTCATTCTGAGATGGGTGTAGTTGATCTGAAACTCTCCCGTGCTTCTGGAAGCAACATGAATTGGGTCCCTTGTTCCTAGAGAATGTCCCATATTCCCCTGCACTTTTGAGAGATTTCTGTTTCCTGAACCATACAGGAGCCAGTCCCTGATGTCCAGAATCCCATGGGCAAGTGCCATGGACTGGAAGGCCCGCACGGCAAGTTGAGAATCATACTTGGTTCAGAAACACTGAGGTAGTGGAGTGGGGATGGCTGTGGCAAATGAGAGGAAATGTATCTGTTCTAAAGGAGGCATCTGCAAATGTCCATGAGATTATGGCTGTGTGGTTTGAGTGTGTACAGTAATTCTCAGGACCTTCAGACATCTGTATCTCCTGTGGCCAAGGCCACTGTCAGAGTAAAGAATCTAAAGGTTTATGGATTCCTGTAGCTCCCTGGGCTGTTGATATTATGGCCATCACTGCACAGGCAGGAACCCCAGCACTGACAGAAGAGAGATCCAAGGGTAGGGCTTCTCTGACCCAGCCAGCATTCTTCGTGACTCAAGTGGACATGGACTTCATTGCTCTCCAGTTTTTGCTGACGTTGAGGCAGGGCTCACTCTCCTAAATTGTGGGGAGAGGGATATGGTAGAGCCAAAATAGTTGGCAGCTGTGACTTTCCAAGAGGGATAGTAAATATGGATTTTTATGAGGAGCATTTAGTTCTTAACAGCTTTATTGAGCTGTTTGACATGAAATAAACTGCACATATATAAATTGTAAAATGTGTTGTGTTTCAGCATTTGTATATCCCTGTGAAACCATCACCACAATCAAGATAATGATTGTATCCAACAAAACCAAAAGATTCCTGTGTCCCCATAAAATCCTTTCCTCCCAGTCCTTCTCACCCCCTTTCCAACAATTCACAAGTTAACAGCAAGCATTTTCTAGAATTTTATATAAACAGAATCATATGGTATATACTTTCTGGGGAGTGGGGACTCTGCCCTTTTTCACTAACCATAACTATTTTGAGGTTAATCCATCTTGTTGCATATATGAAGAGTTTGTTCATTTGTATTGTTGAGTAGTAGTCCATTGTATGGGTATACCACAGTTGTTTTTTATCCATTTAGCTATTAATGGATGTTTGGATTGTTTGCAGTTTTTTGGCTGTTACAAATAAAGCTGCTGTGAAGATATGTGTACAAGTTGTCACTGAATAGCATTCCGTTATCTTGGTGTACCACAGTTTGTTTATCCATTCGCCTACTGAAGGACATCTTGATTGCTTCCAAGTTTTGGAAATTGTGAATAAACCTACGATATGCATTTATGTGTAGCTTTCATGTGCACATAAGTTTTCAACTCGTTTGAGTTCAAGTCAAGGAGCATAATTTGCTGGATCATATAATAAAAGTATGTTTAGTTTTGTAAGGAACTGTCTTCCAAAGTGGCTGTACCATTTTGCATTCCCACTAGCAATGTATGAGAGTTCCTGTTGCTCCACATCCTCGTCAGCATTTAGTGCTATCAGTGTTTTGGATTTTAGCCATTCAAATATGTGTGTAGTGGTATGTCATTGTTGCTTTGACATATGATGAATATCTTTTCATATTCTTAAACAGTGTCTTTTGCAGAGCAGAAGTTTTTAATTTTTATCAAGTCCAAATTACCCAATTTTTCTTTCATGGACTGTGTTTTTGGTGTTGTATCTAAAGTCATTGTATAAAGTCATTGCCAAAACAAGGTCACCTACAGTTTCTCCTATGTTGTCTTCTAGGTGTTTTATAGTTTTGTGTTTTGCATTTAAGTCTGTCATCCATTTTGAGCAAATATTTGTGAAGGGTGTAAGATCTGTATCTAGAGCATTTTTTTAAACATGAGAATGTCCTCTGGTTCCAGCACTATTTGTTGAAAAGACTACCCTTTCTCCATTGAATTGCCTTTGCTCCCTTTGCAAAGATCAGCTGTCTGTACTTCTGTGGATCTATTTCTAGACTCTGTTGCAATTTTTTCCATCTCTTGAGATAATCATTGTGTGGGTGTGGCTTTTTTTGTCTTTTATTTATAAAGTATATTCCGTTAATTGATAATCAGATGTTAAACTAATCTTGCATTTCCTGGGACAAGTCCCACTTGGTCAGGATGTATAATTCTTGGTATATGTTGCCAAATCAGTTTTCTGATACTTTGTTAATGTATTTTAGATCTATATTGATAAGGGATCCTGGGTTTGTTGATTTCTTTTCTTGTGATATCTCTGCCTAACTTTGCTATCAGAGTAATTCTCACCTCATAGAATAAGTTGGGAAGTTTCCTCCTTTACTTTCTGGAAGAGTTTTTGAAGGATTAATTATATTTCTTCTTTAAATGTTTGCTAGAATTCCTTAGTGAAGCCACCTGAGCCTGGAATTTTACTGTGGGAAGATTTTCAATAAAAGCTACTTAGCATAGTTCTGTATAGATTTTTCTATTTATGTCAGTTTTGATAATTGGCGTCTTTCTAGGAATTTGTCCATTTCAACTAAATTGTGTCATTTGGGAGGATAAAGATTGTTTACAATATTCCATCATGAGGCTTTTAATGTCTGTAGGGTCAGTAGGGTCTTCATTCCTGATTTTGTTAATTTCTTGTCTTCTCTTTGTCCGCCTACCTAAAGGTTTTCAATTTTGTTGATTTTTTTAATGAACCACCTTTTTGTTTCATTGATTTTTTTTTTATGTTTTTCTGTTTTTTATTTCAATGAATTTTGTTCTAGTCTTTATTATTTCCTTTCTTATCCTTGTTTTGGGATTAGTTTAGTCTTATTTTCCTGCTTTATTAACGTGGAAACTTAGGTTATTGACGTCTTTCTTTTTTTGTAATAAGCTGTTTAAAGCTATACATTTTCCTCTAACCATTCAGTTTAGCTGTGTCACATTGATTTTTATATGTAGCATTTTTATTTTCATCTAGTTCAAAATATTTATGTTTTTAAAATTTAACTTGTAATTTCTCTTTTCACACCTAGGATATTCTGCAGTGTGTGGCTTAATAAGTCTTTCTCTATTGAATCTGCAGGGCCATTATCACAGAGTGGGAGGAATGCTTTTAATTTTTCGTCAAGGGCCCAAGTGTTATACAATTAAGGGCTTGAAATGGAGAAAATCTGTGAGTTAGTAGAAATACTTTCTACTCTGAACAGTATTTTGAACAGAGCTGTCCAGTGTTTAATGTAGAAAGAGTAGCACCCATATCTACCAGGGATTGATGAGGATGACCATCTGTTGTTAATTCATCTGGAGTGCTTAAGGATATGGCAGGTTATTGGGCACTTTTTCCTTCCTCAGAGCACCCTCATTGATCTGAATCGAAGGATTTTCTTTGTCTTGGTTTTTCTTTCATAAGATGGGACCATCTTTTTTCCAGTGTCCCTTCTATTTACAGTATGTTCAAGTGTCCTTGTCAATAGTTGGTTGGTTGGGAAATAGTTCCCTTAGCAGTTTGATCTGCAGGGATTCAATTTATCGTGGGTCTTATTTTTATTCTAAAACCCTTCAAAATGTACTGTCAGGTGTTTTAGTTAAGTAAAGGGGCTATTTTATTATTCTAATTTCTGTTTTCCAGTTAGGTCTCCAATTCAGGTTTAATACCATTGATAAAATGACATGAAACAGCTGCTGTTACATCAGCACCTCGTACTCCCAAATGTTGCAAGAAGATATTTTTCTAGTGTTAACTGAAATGAGCAGCTTTACGAGGCAAGGTAAAGTTTTAAAGAAAAGAGAGGCTTTATGAAAGGTTTGCAAACTGTGGATCTACACCTCAGCTTCTAAGTTGGTGAGTGAGCCTGCCCCAGTCTTTGAGTGGCTGGGTTTGTAAAGGCAAAAATTGCAGAGTATACAAGGCAGAGTCCATTTTCTGATTGATTGCCCTTTCCAGTTACAGTTTATCTTATGCTGGGGCTTTCTAAATGTCCTAACCACAGGAAGAAAAAAAACTTTTGCAGTGTTCTCTGGCCATCTGGGAACAGTCAAGGTTAAAATGCAATTTTCTATTTCTGTTCATAGTTCAGCCTAAAGTGGTCATGGTAACCATCTTGTCATCTCTGGTCTACTTCTTATCTCTTTCTTTTATCATTTCAACCTTTTGATCATAGGTTCGCCACTGTGACACCTTTTATCAATTTGGGGAGTATTCAACTCCCTTGATTCCCAAGTGCCCCTCAGCTGCTTGGGTTCCATCCAGTCCCACGTAGAAGGCACCAGAGGGTGGCATGGGCTGAACATAGGTGGTGACGTGAGCCAACATCATGCAGGTTGCCATTGGTGAGGTGGCATCCAGACACCGCTTAAAGCATGCAAAAATAAGTTTAAAGAGGAACCAAATGCTGAGTCCCAGAATAATAAGGATCATGATATTGGAGGCCTGATTGTAAGAACGAGCCTATTCCCTCAGGAAGCCAACTGAAAAGGTCTCCCGGGCCGGCCCCATGGCTTAGCGGTTAAGTGCGCGCGCTCTGCTGCTGGCGGCCTGGGTTCGGATCCCGGGCGTGCACCGATGCACCACTTCTCCAGCCATGCTGAGGCCGTGTCCCACATACAGCAA